CTGGAAAGTAACCACAGTATCAGCACTTCTATATAATTTTTTTGATAAAAGAGTTAGCACAAAGGATCACATATAAAGTGTAATGGACTTAAAATAAGACCCAAAACTCGAGCGCTTTTGAATAGTTAACCATTCTTCTTGTTCTCCTGAAGAAGAATAGTCAACTATTCGAAAGCGCTTGAGTATTGGGTCTTATTTTAAGTCTATAGCACTTTCATATAGATCAGGTATATGAATAAATTTATAATAGAAACTAGAGCCTAAATTCAAAGAAGATACCTCGCCTCCTCACACCAAATTGCTGTATTCCTTGTTTTTTTAAGAGATTTGCATACCACTAGCTCTGGGCTAACTCCCACCTAAATTCATGTGTTTAACATGAACTTCACTAGTGCATGATGATGCCAACATTCAACAATAGCCCTCCACCAGAGTCTGTGACATCTAGGTCTCACTGTCTGTGGTCAACATGACAGTCACTATTTTAGGTTCTTTCATGCATACTAGGCCTCCTACTCCTATCTTTTCAACCAATCATTCTTTCTAGTTTCAATGTAATCAGGTTGATGGTTACTTGACTTACTATTTACATCATCAATATGGAAGAATATCCTCACTTTTCCTTGATATGATTTCACAGGTATGTTATTTTCTTTCTTTTTCCCCTTTCACCTGCCTTTTGGGTCTGTGCAGTCCTTCTAGTCTGCTTGACTGTTTTATCCTGACTTATGTCTGTTATTCATACCATTCTTTGATTCTCATTTTGTACTCACTACTCCCTGTTTGGGGAGTGAACCCCTTAACTTCTGTTTTCATTTATTGTGCCCACCTTTTGTACTTTTGTTTTTCTTACCATTCTCTTACATTACCTCTTTCTACCTTCTAACTGAGGCATCTCAGTGTGCTCCAGGGGAGTATTTTCTGCAGTGGTTTGTTCTTTTTTTTTGCTCTGTGTTGACCTGTAATTCTTCTTATCTATGCCTCCTTTCTTGGTTCATCTGCTGTTGGGATGAGTTGCTCTCATACCAAGTGCATGTTTCTCTCACACTGATATCTGTAATCTGACTCAGGCTACATTTCTTTGTCCAGAAATCTGTGGTGGTGTTTTTGACCCACTGGAGAACCAAACTATTGTGGTCTGACATCAGTCCTCATTGTGTACTTTGGTTTCTTGTCTTTCTCATCCTTGATGTTGCATCTGTTCTTAGGCCTGCTAAATCTGCTTTCTATCTTCCTGGCCTTCTACTTCCTGACCTCTCACTGCCCAGTGTCAGGATTGTTGCTCATCTTGTTGGCAACTGCCCTGTCAGTTATGGCTGTGTGGGGGCCCATCTGTCTTTCTTTGCCATTCTTCGA